ATAATCATTATCATTATCATTACTATTATCATTATTATTATCATTATTATATTATCATTACCAATATCATCATCATTATCATTGTTATTATTTTTGTTATTATCATTATTATCATTATTTTATCATCATTATTGTTATCAATGAATTTATTATTATTATTATTATTATCATTATTATCATTATCATTATCATTAACATTTTTGTTATCATTATTGTTATCGTTATTTCATTATCATTATCATTATTATTATCATTATCATTACTATTATTATTGTTATTATTATTACCATTATCATTATTATTATCTTTATTACTATTATCATTTTTTGTATCTTTATTGCTATTATCATTATGATTGTCATTAATGTTATTATTATTACTATCATCTTTATCATAATTATCATCATTATTGTTATTATCATTATCATAATTATCATTATTATTATTATTATTATTATTATTATTATTATTATTATTATTATTATTATATTATTATTATATTATTATTATTATTATTATTATCATCATCATCATCATCATCATCAACATTATTATCGTTATTATTATTAGTAGTAGTAGTAGTAGTAGTAGTAGTAGTATCATTATTATCAATATTATTATCATTATTATTGTTATCATCATCATCATTATCATCAGCAGCATTATTATTATCATCATTATTATAATTATCGTTATTCTTATTATTGTTATTATTATCAGCATTATTGTTATCATAATACTTATTCATCATCATCATCATTATCACTGTTATTATCACTATCATTATCATTATTATCATCATCATCCTTGTTGCTTTATTAATATTATTACTATTGCTATCATTGATATTGTTGTTATTATTATCATCATTACCACCGTTATTAGCACTATCATTATAATTAGTATTGTTATTATGAGATTATTATCATCTTCATTATCACCATTGTTGTTAGTATTGCTATCATTATTGTTATATCTATTGTTATAATTGTTTTTTTTCTATTTTTTATCATTATCATTATTATTATCATCAGTATTATTATCATTATCATTAACGTTGTTTTCTTATTAGTATTAGTATTTCTATTATTATTATCGTTACTATGGCAATATGATTATTATTATTGTTTTCATTATTCTTATAATTTTTTTATCTTTATAACTGTTATCAACAATATGATAATAATAATAATAATAATGACAATAATAATGGTAATGATGATAATAATAATATCATTATTACCATTATTGTTATTAATTTATTATCATTATTATTATTATTATTAAGTAGTAGTAAGTATAGTTAAGTAGATAGTATAGATATTCATTATTATATTATATCATCATCATCATTATTATATCAACTTATTTAACTTCAATATTATCATTAATGCTATCATCATTACTATTATTTTGCTTTGATCTTAATTATTAACATTATCATCACCATTAATGTTATCATGATTTTCTTATCACCATTGTTATTACACTACTTCTATTACTGCAAATATTATTACTACTGCTGCTATTGTTATCATATCATCATTACCGTCTTTTTTATTTTTCGTTACAATGCCCATCATTGCCACCATCGTCTTCATAATTTCTTATATGCAGTAAATATTTCTAATAATATATCTCTCCTTAGTGACGTCACTGTCATTGCCATCATCGTCTTCATAATTTCTTATTTGCAGTAAATATTTCCAATAATAAAACTCTCCTTAGTGACGTCATTGTTATTATCGGCATTCCTTATCTTTATCGTTATTATTCCTTTCATCCTCATACGCGCTGATATCACCGCTTTCTTGCAACGGGGCGCTCGTGGTAAGTGATAATGAAGAAAAACCTCTATAATAATGAGTGACGCATGAGAGAGGTTGTACTCTCCCTCTCCTTCCTCCTCTCCCCTCTTTCATTTCCTCTGTTGCTTCCCTCTTCGCAGCCTCTTTTCTTTCTCCTCACTTCTAATTCTTCCCTCCGCTTTGCCTATTTCCTTTACCCCCTGCCCCCTCTCGCATCCTCACCCCCCCCCCCTCGCCACTATCCATTACCCCCAGAGATTTTTCTCCTCCCCCCCCCTCCCTCGCCCCACTCCCATCGCAGGAGCCAGGTGTTCTGTGCCCTGAGAGGAAGAGGAGGGGAGAAGGGAGAGAGGGGAAGACGGAGAAGGAGGAGGAGGAGGGAGAGGAGTGAGAGAGGAGGCGAGAGGGAGTACAAGGAGGGAGGAGGGAGAAGAGCAGGGTCGAGGATGGAAGGACGGAGATGAGAGGGGGAGTAGAGAGAAGGAAAAAGAAGAAGGAAGAAGGTAGGAAGCAAGAGGGAAGTCAGAGGATAGAAAGAAGAAAAGGACCAGGAGAGCGGAGGAAGGAGAGAGAGAGGAGGAGGAGAAAGGAGGATAGGGAGGGAGGAGGGAGAAAGAGGAGGGGGAGGGAGGAGGGAGAGAGAGAGCGAAGGGAGAAGGAATTTTGCTTGGCTCGAGGGAGAGATTGTTTGA